CGGGGTAGAGCGACTTAAGTAAGCCTACTACCCCGGCAACATGAGGGCACGACATTGAGGTCCCAGATTCTATACTAAAGGGAGTTATGCGTTTATCAAGTTCTTCTCCTGTAGGGCTAACTCCTTCGGAGTATGCAGCAATGATATTCACTCCTGGTGCCGTAATATCTGGCTGGATACACCGTAAACTTTAGTTTAGTTTATAAAAATCACGCGAAAAGGAGAAAAAATAGTTGGTTCTCGACCTTAAGAATTTCTGGAGAAATGGCATTAGGCCCTCTGGAAGAGAATGAGGCCATAAATGGAGCAGGCTTTTTGTTAAATACTACCTTTGGAGCTATAATTAGCCCTTGTGGATGCCTGCAAGTATCAATTTATAAGACATTTAAGAAAGACTTGTTTAAATGATGGAGACAGATGTAGATGTAGAGAGATACTTGGTCCACTTGACGTAGGCAAAAACAGCAACGCCATCCGTATAATTGATTTGTGTAGCCGGAAGAACATGAGGATCAGCCATAAGTTCATTACCACTTGCCTCGTCGTTACAAAGAATCATCCCCACAGCACCAGCTAGTAAAGCTTGTTCACCTTTGCTGACTCGTGCAATTTCCCCCCGAAGACAGACCAGTATCTTACCCTTCACCTTCTTGGGGTCTAATGTTCCTTCCTGGCAGAGTATCCTGTTTAGAATCATCCAATAAGAAACAATTTATAAGTATTTCAAATAATTATGTTTACCATGTGTTCGACTAGATGGAACTGGACAGTATTCTTACGCGTCACGAGCAGATGCATTTGCAGCTTTAGCTTTATCAGCACTAATAAGTGGATAATATTTATTTTTCGGCAATGATTTGGAGATGCTCGTCCCCTGATTAGATATATAGGCATTAAAACAGGCCAAGAATCAAAAAAGTTGTACGCGGCAAATCAAATCGACTATAAAACAGAAGACTAAACCTCTAGGATCATTCCTTTACGCAGCTTAACGTTAGCTTGGAACTTGCGATCAGTGGTGCTTGCTCCAACAGTTAAAATCCATGGTGCAATATTTGACACAGATCCAGGAGTTGGTCCGGCATTTCCAGCAGAGGCTACGACTACTATTCCCTTCTTTATAGCATGAAATGACGCAATGGCTATGCCATCTTCGAAGTAATCTACAGCTTCTCCACCGAGAGAGACTGAAAGCACGTTTACCCCATCGTGCATTGCCATATCATAGGCTTTCATTATATCAGAATCAAAGCATTCTGAGCCATGGATTGGAGTCCAGCATACTTTGTAAGCAGCTACTCGAGCTTTTGGTGAACCGCCTTTTGCTGTTCCATTTCCCAAACCGAATATATTTGCTCCTGGGACGAAGTTTCCAGCAGCAGTTGATAGTGTATGAGTGCCATGTCCATCGTAGTCACGTGCAGATTTCTTCGTAGAATTAACGTCGCCTCCATATGCAGCATAACCTTTATTGAAGTACCTAGCTCCAATCAGTTTCCTACAAAAATTTTCACGACATAACGGAAGGAAATTTTGAATTCTTCTCACCACACATCCACACAATAATCAGTAAAAAAAAGCACGAAAAGTCAAAAAAAAAA